CACGTTCTATCTGAATGATCTTAAGATCCCTGAAAATCTGTTTCTGTCTGATCGTGTTCGAGAAAGTCAGACGCTCGTTTGCGCTTACGGATGTGTTGAATTTGAACGATATCGGCGGTAACGCTTCTTAGTCTTGTGTCACACTACTCACTTTAGACAGCCTATAATTAATATGCTTCAGGGCATGTGTGTCCGATATATGAAACACGATTGAAATGCTGGATCATCTTATTATCTTAAACACCTCTAAATAATATATTCCAGGTATAGGATCCAAACCACGTTTGGACTGCTGGACAGCTGCTTGGATAAGTTGGATACGAGCCCTTGCCGGTTTGAAATCAGAACAAGGTAATTGGGTAAGATAGCGGTTCTATAATTTATCACAAATTTAAGTATACATTATTACCTAAACAAATATAACCACACAGCTATCCAACCAATAATTGTTTAATTGATCAAATCTAAACTACAATAAGAAAGTTGATAAATAATGCAAGAAAATTACCAATCACCACAAATAAATGTTATTCTATCCTGTCTGGATAGATCACGTACAGATTCGTTCAAAAAGTAATAATTGGTCGCTCTATAACACAGAGTGTTTTCAATTCTGGAAGAGTGCTTCAATTCACAACCAAAATGCACAATTCCAGTCAACACAGGTCAAGCAATCAAAAGCAAGAACAAACCAAAATGGTTGCCGCCCAGACTTAGTATAAAGTAAAACAACATAAGTGCGGTTCAAGAAGAAACATGGGGAATTAGTGAAGGTGTGGTAAAAACGAAAACTATAATAAAATACAAATATTAACAATTCAAATGTAGTCCAAAAGTTAACAATGTACAACTAAGAAGATCAATAGGAACAAAGTGCAAGTACATACATGGAGGGATTTTCATAAACACACAAGGCATTCAAAATGGATCTTACACCAGGAAAGTATTTGTGCAAACTGGAAATGCTGTATAATTTACCCCAACACTGGCTAAGGTTCAAGCCATTATCATAGATATGAGTTGAGAGTGTGTTCCCCTTGGTTACAACTTATGTTCTCCCTGATAATTACATGAGCATCACTCACTGTTAATCGTCTTGTGAAGACTTATCTAGCCGAAGACATCATGCAGAACCACATCAACTATAATTGCGGCACATAAGTTTCGTTGATTCCGACAGCTTATAATCACTGTATCTCAAGGAAATCGTATTCCGTCTTACAGTTAACTGATATTTACAACTTACTTGTATGCACCATCAGACGGTAAATATTCATACAAATAATTGGTTTATTGTACACCAAAAAAATAGTCTAGGGCATGTCTCTCGTCGATCCACTCATATTTTATGAACTACCGTCATCTATCTGTCCAAAATTCACATAATAAACATTTTCTTATGAACCAAAGGAATTTTTGACAATCACTCACTGTATTAGTAGTTTTATTAAATTCTTTCACGGTAGAACAACAACGAAGTCGAGAAACTCTCTCCATAACTAGACAAACAGTACAAATTTTGACAAATTAACTGAAACACTAGTTGAAATTCCTCCATCCTACGGTTATACTTTTGTACCTACAGTCAGCCTGCAAATGCATTTAAAAAAAAACGCATACGAACAAAATACCGGCATAAACGTCAAGTGACCTGACTTGAATTAAAGGTATTGGTGATATCAACATCCGCAAAATATCGGTTGTATTTCTATTTCCGGACAAAAAATACTCATGCTGTCCATACGCTAAGCCAACGGCTATTACTACGAAGCTTCCTGAGACATATTAAGCTATCCCTACACAAAATTATACTTAATTAATATAATTCAGCTTTGTTTACTTATTAAATAAAATTCACGTAGAATTCCATTTTGTGAGTGTTACGAATTAAAACAAATATTTTGAAATTATAACATGTAACGAAATAATCCGTTAAAAATTCTCTATCTTGACTTATTTACAGAATGGTCTCCCTTGTTATATGAAACGTTAGAGCACATAGTTAGAGATTCAACAAAAATCACACTACTTGGTGTTTTTAAGAAGCAATACATGTTGCATGAATAAGTGGTTTGTGTTCCTTCGATCGGTCCAATAAAGTAGGAACAATTCCAGATAGTTTACCATCGACATTCAGACCTCCAACCACAAATCTGTATCTGAATCAGCCGGAACATACAAATTATTATTTACGGCGCGTTGTGATGCTGCGGTGAGCACTTCGGTATTTGCCAGGACATTCATAAACGAGATCTGTTTTCCACATAGATCAGTTAAAACAATTATTAGTGTTTTCGCATTTATGTAGCAATAATTAGAGTTTAAACAGGACCTCTGGTCATTCGTATTTCTGTTTATGATCCTCTACGGTCCAAAACCAATATAAAACAAACCCCACATCCTACTTGCTTTATTGTTTCCTAGTCACACATTTTTGCTTATTTTACCAACTAAATCCATTCAATTCTGACAAAGTCATATTTGAGTCCATATTATTAACAACTTGTGTCTTCTGGGATAGAGGTGATTGAGTCTGGTTTCCATGTTATTCGTGGATTTACACGTACTGTTAACTTATTTCATACAAAAGGTCCTGCGTGATCAAATATACACATCCTTCTTCCCTCTCCATTTATTTGTTTGTATCAATTTGATCCAGTAACATAATACTAACCTGGTAGAAATTAATCTCAAGTTCTACCGTCTGATAAGCACTCAACAGACACTCGGATTTAAGAGGAATATGAGTTCAAATGGATTCTAGACGCAGGATTTGAATGTGTTCTATTGTCTTCAGACCTATGATCTTATGCCGTCGTATAATCACAGTCTATCAGTGAGATAAACATCACTTCATCAGTAAGATGTATTACTTGGGTCTACGTAATTAACTGTTAGTCTCACCGAGAATTTAGTCTGTTTGCAACAATTCAGTCGAAGCATTTTACATATCCAAGTGCTCGTGAAATAACGGACACAGTGTCTAGCGTTTTGCCAACTATGACATACAACTTACGAGGAAAAGTTCCAAATTACTTTTCGAACGCTTACACACTAGTCTCGGGTCTGTTTTCTTAATTTTATGACGCGTAATTACGTAAATGCAGGTTGGGGAATCCATTTATATGACTTTTTGAAGGTATGTGCCATCCAAAAACACAATATTCAAACAACGACACTCAAATTGTATGGTGAAATCTTTCTGACTTACAAATAATGCTCGTTACACCAAAAAGTTAAATAAATACAACTGTCAAGTACTTATGAATGAAGAAGATGAGTCCCAACAGAATAGGATCAAGATTTCCTTCTGAAAAAATCAGGTCAACCAGTGAAAGTTTCCAGAGGTCAGTAGATAATTAATATTAGCCGACTGTTCGGTGATGTAATCTGAAACAAAGCCCTTCAAGACCTTGTTGTCATCGGTCTGGTACCATGCAACAACAAAGTGAAACAAGGAAGAATAATCTTAACTAGAGTCAAATAACAAAAGTCTAGTTAAGGATAACTGGAAGCTATGAGAATATGGGTAGGAAAGTCATGGACTAAAGTTTATGTACAAAAATGGGGTCAAAATTTACTAAATATCAATGCTGTCAAAGAAGGCCCTTAAGAGAGTCCTTCTAGTAGCATGAGGGACCCCAAAGTACTCCTCGTAATGTAGTGGATAAGAACACCAAACACTTTTGGTAGTGTAGTTTGTTTCAAAATACGTGGAGGAAACGGAGTGCAACATCGCGAAGTAAAATACACGAAAAGTCCACCGTTCGATACATAAACACAGAAAATATGATGCTCACATAAAATAAGAAAGTAAATAACTATTCTAACTATAATGTCTTAATTCCAACTGAAGATGACCAAGAACCTAACTTGGGCTGCTACACACTCGTTATGTTGCAGGAATTTTTAGATTGTTATTGTCGGGCCTACCTCAACATGTCCTTACACTTTGAATTGTGATAATACTGGCCCCTCAGTCCGTTTCGATTGTAGACTCAACATTTTCAGCGCAAAAGTACCTAGGGAAAGAACTTTAATTGTCCATTTCGGCCGAAATCATGTTTCTGTAAAGATCAGAACAAAAGGTAGAACCTATACATACTTAGAGCTCAGTCTTAATACATTGAAAAGTTCTTTGGACAAGTTTGTTTCCAATTCCCACTTACCGTGATTCATACAATGAGAATTGCACTCACTGAGAAGGAAAACTGGTGGTTTCCAATTTAATAATGAAATGTTGTTTCCTAAGAGAAACTGATGATGAAAAATGACAAACTCACTTCTACTGTCCCAGCCAGCGACTTCCTGCTTCCTTTTGTTTTTAGAATTAGCAGGAATACAAGATACCGGTAGAGCAGTCCTGTACTCTTTTGATTCAGCACAGAATCCCTAGATTTACGGTTATTATCCTTGGACCATTGAAAGTGGCTGAAGAATCGGGCAGCTAAATTGTTGAAAGAGGTCGGAAACCTGAAGAATACAAATCAACGAGGTCAGACTACGGACTTCATAACTCACCCAAATAAGTCTTCGGTGTGTGCTGCATTTGAGAAGCATCAGATCGTTATGGTTACGATTCTTCCACAAACCTACGGAAAAAATCAAATCGTGTGATCATTCTTTAAAGTTCTCACATAGCTTACAACGTCAGTGAGCGAATCCCCGTCTCCCGTACTCAACGTGTGGGCGAAATCGAGATAACATAGCCGATGAAAAACTTTTGACGACGAGAAAGCTCCAAACTGAATACATTCATCTGAGGAGTGAGTTTAAAAAGTTTATTAGGATTTTACCAGAAGTCCAGAAAACCCCGAGGTATGTAATTACTTAAGTGATAAACCTTAAAGTTACTAGCTATTTTATTAAAGAAGCAAGGCCAACATGAAAAATGTCTCCTAATAAATGAAGAAAAAAAGACGGTGACGTCAAAAAGCTTGTTACAACTGTTAATAAGTGAAACACCTTATCCGTCGTGGCTCAAAGAACGGCAAAACTCACAACTCCCGCCATTTAAGTAGACTTAGGTAGGAGATTCAAAACTCAGAGGAGGAAGGCCTGTGAATTGTTAACCGTAGTTTATTTCTTCCAGTATCAGACGTAAGTGTACAAAACGAGTTCTCTCTGTCGTTTCTTTACGCTCAATTTTTTTGTAAGTTCAAGATAATTGAGAGACCCATATAACGAGGACTTAGACAGGCCATTCAGGATGAATTTCAGTTTGGTAAGGACAGGAGGCTTGATGGCCTGTGTTAGTCCTGGCAATGGTGGTCTCTCAGTTGATCCAACTTTCTTTTGAAAGAGTCGACGGATGGGGCTCCAATCACGTGCTGAGGTAATGAATTCCACTCGATGCTGCGCTGGGAAAGTCGATAGTCAGCTGACAAGTAATTTGTTCTGGGCTTGTGAACTTTTTTGGAGTGTCCTTGTAAATTCTCTGTTTTGGAAGACAACAAAAACGAGGATTGTTTCGTTATCAACTGGGTTCGTCATATTCGTTTGTCATCTGACGTGGATAGCTTTCAGCCCGATCTATGTGACAAGTATGTCAGAGTAATTATACACATAATCACTCTGCTCTAAGTAATGCAACAGTCCCACAGATTTAACAAGCTGGATGCATTTGTAAATATAAGTAAGCACTAAAACCAACTTTTCGCCTGGATAAAAAGACCTTAATTTTATGTCATATTGATCTCAAGCTGCACTTATGTACTAAGCGCCCCTTGGACTATCGAACGGACATTCATTGAATGTACTTTTTGAGTCACCGGTTCCCAAATTCCACCAGGTCATTAGTTTAAATTCCTTAGCAGGTCTTAATTTTCACCGAGAAAAGTGCCGAGTTACTAACACATAGATGCGCCATAGTCATAGGCTGGTGAGTCGTTTTGTGCATTTTGAGGTCTTATTTCCCAATAACTAACCTTAATTTACGGCCGTAATTTTCGTGTTTACACAATTTTTGCAAATTGGACTAATTTAGAACAACGATGTTTGTTAAACATTGCTTCAAACTGGTTAAGTTACGAGGACACTGGTCAACTTTAATCGACTTTTGTGTATATATTCAGGTAGTTATTTCCGTAGTAGTGATTATACGTAGCTGTCAATTCAAATATGTGCGTTTATCCCCCTCTAAACGCAGATGACGTAGTCCTGCAAGACAGTCCTCTGGGACGACATTCGGAGAACATGTCCAAGCCACCGAAGTCGATGTTTCAAGATGGTGACACCAATTGCATTATCATCTCTGTGCCCGAACACACGATGCCGAACTTCTGTATTACTAACATGGTGTTGCCACTGGATGTCAGCAATCCTTCGGAGACAACGATGCTTAAACACAGAATCATCTAATATCCTCAACTCGGAGAGACCAGGTCTTACAAGCATAGAGCAGAACTGCTCTCACCGACGCGTTGTAGATCCGACCTTTTACATCCAGACTAACATCACGAAGGCGCCAAAGATGGCCCACATTGGCATAAGCCTCTCCGGCTTTCACTACACGTGAATTGATCTCATCATTCACGCCACCACCAGCAATTATGCAGCTACCTAGATACGCGAACTTCTCGATTATTTCTATCTGCTCACCATCCAAGGTGAGTACAGGATTGGAATCCTGCCAGTCTTGTAGAAGTTCTTTGCACTTCGAAGGTGCAAATCACATACCATACCTACGGACACTGATTGCCAACTGATTAAGTGCGGATTGCATGCCTTGGGTATTATCACACAGTAAGACAATATCGTCCGCATACTCAAGGTCGAGAAGTCTTTCTCCAGACAACAGATCCGCACCACCATTACTTACATTCCTCAGAGCTGTTTCCACAATGTCATCGGTCGCAAAGCTGAAGAGGAATGGTGAGATTGTGCAACCCTGCCTAACCCTACTGCTCGAATGGAACAATGGAGAGAGGTGATTGTATGCCTGAGGTGTTTGTATATAGGGCTTTTAGGATGTTAATAAACTTCTCAGGCACACCCTTCTTCAATAGACAATCCTAGAGAACAGTCCTGTTCAACGAATCGAAGGCAGCCCTGATGTCAAGAAACACTACGATTGTTGGCCTTTGATAAGTATGGCGGTGTTCTAACATTTGGCGAAGGTTGAAGATATGATCAATACATCCTCGACCAGAACGAAACCCAGCCTGCTCCTCGCGAGTCAATCTTTCTCGGGTTTTGAACAATCTACGAAGTATGACGGAAGGCGATAGCCAATGCTCATCTATACTTTTCGATGGAATGGTAGCTAGCATAGAAGCTAGCTCGGTTCGTTACTTACTAGCAACAGAAGTTGCAACCAACTTGCTGACATCAATCCTTTGGTGGCGGTCACTTTGTTGGCCACTGAGAAGTAAGGTGAGATTGGCGCAGACGAAGGCATGATCAGAGTCCAGAGGGGTACTCCAAAAGGAGCGGCAGTCTTGTGCACAACCACGCTAGCGGTAGCTGATCGCGATGTGATCAATCTGAGTCCAGGCTTGAGATGCAGAAGGAGGATGCCAGGTGGCACATCGGCGATGACTGTGCCGAAAGTTAGTGCTAGCCAAAACAGGTTGTGGTCTGTGCACAGTTGCAGTATACGGTCCCCGTTATCTGTGTTGCGACCTACAAGTTCCCATCAGCCACCTAAACGACTCTCTTCTGCGCCTAGACGCCCGACCTGAGCATTCAAGTCTCCGGCTAGTACTAAAATATCTGTCGAACGCACTTTCTGGAGCAGAACAGATAATCGGTGGTAGAATTCATCCTTGATTGCATCCGGGCTGCAATCTGTCGGAGCATAAACGGAGATGACGAAAAGACATCGTTTTTCAGGCCGATTTCTTCTCACTTTGATGGAACTCTCTAATCTAACAGCACATAACCGACTGTTAATGGGGATTCAGTTGATTAGTGCTGCCTCAGTCAGTCAGCTACAACATAGGACCAGGCACATATATGCATCGGTCCAAGTTGCCATACCTCATTAACACAAGATGGACACCGGATTCATAAAGTAGTTAATTCAGAGGTGGTAGTGTATAAAAGAAATAGTGCAATAAGGATATAGTACAGGAAGAAAGAATTAGTTCGTAGAAAGATATGAAGCAATTTTAATCTCTTAGTTTAAGAGAAGACAGAGTGTATACACCGACGCCATTTTGATAGGTTCTTAGCCATGTCACCCAGACTCTCCAACCACTGGTTACGAAAGTCACGCGGCCCCCAACCAAGTAGTCTGCATCTACCAACATGGCTCAGACTAGAAGTTAGTGTCTTCAAGCACTGATGCCACGTTTTGGTTTGGCCGCCCCTAACATTCTTCCAACCATCTCCAATACCGGATAGCATTGTACGTCGTGGTAATCGGTGTTCAGGCATACGTAACACGTGGTTCAACCATCTCAGTCGACGAAGATTCACAACTTCATCAACTGATTTACCATCATTCCCTAATACCACGCTTCTAACCTCACTATTACTTACCCGGTGATCCCAGCAGACGTCAGCAATATCTCTAAGGCATCTATGGTCAAATACTAGTAGCTTACAAGTGTCTTCTACTCTCAATGACCATGTTTCGCTACCGTAAATTAAAACAGAACGGACTGCCGCGCAGTATACCTGTCCTTTTATCGATAGATCGATATCTCGCCTTCGCCATAGGTGACGTAAGTTGGCAAAAGCCAAGCGAGCTTTTCGAATCCCTGCTGAGATTTCGTCAGACACCAACCCATTAGGGCTGATCAGACTTCCAAGATAAGTGAAGTTGTCGACGCGTTCGATTACTTCACTCCCTATCCTTAGTTCAGGTGTTGACACAGACCAGTCCTAAAGCAACAACTTGCATTTGGAGGGAGAGAAGCGCATTCCAAACATTCTGGCATTGTTGCTTAGTGCTACCAAAACACTCTGCATTTTGTCAGCGTCTTCACCAAACAGGACTATGTCATCTGCGTATTCTAAATCGATAAGTGGACCTCCTGCATGGAGATCAATACCCGAGAACTCAGTCGACGAGAAAGTTATTTCCATCAGTAGATCTATGATGAAGTTAAACAAAAATGGGGAAAGTGGACAGCCTTGACGGACACCACTTGAGGTTGCTTAATGCGCTTAGTGCGACACCAACGCTTGCAAGACCAGACGAAGATGCCACAGGGTCCCCGGGTAAGCGAACGTAAAACAAAAGCGACAGATGAAGAGCGAATTTGTAGTACTTCACCAGAGTCTTGAATACGGGTCTCGGACAGACAGCGGACATCGATATTAAGACTTTCCTAAGATATAGCCAGCCCTATCTGTTGTCCGACCTGCATAAGTGTGCGAACGTTAAAGGCAGCCAGTTTGAATGGTGCATTTGGTTTCAGAAAAACTACTTTAGTATTCGTATTCGGTGGTAGCATACAATTTTCAACCAGGCAGTGATTCGAGAACGTTTAGATAGAACTGAGTTTCCACCATAGGCGAGTTGCTGTGTGAGTCGAAAAATAAGGATACATAAAGTGGGAATAAAATCGAGTGAATAAATGACGTAGAAAAGAATAATAATAACAATAATAGAAAAGTATTTTCCATAAATATCGACATTTCATCATATTTGTGTGAGGGCTGCGATACTGCCCGGATGCCCAGACCGAAGCAGGTGGTTTTCTTAGGGGGCCACACCCGGAGCCTTCGACCTAAAGGTTTAACCCACAAGGCAGTGGAGCATCGTGAGGAGATGCAGTCCCATGGTAGCCGGTGACCAACGACTGGTTCGTACGCCATGTGCACCATTGGTTTGGGATCCGGTTAAAGAGTCGGATATTCGCTTTTCATCCTCTCATTTTTGTAAACAACCTCCCACCACGGAAAGGCAGTGAGTAGGACTTCCCTGGCAGAGGCTATATACACGTGGCCGTGTAAGAGTATTTTGAGAGGGAGGGCGGGCCTACCCCACTCTCGGCCATTCTGGGAACTGGATGTAATCCAATCTGACTGGTCTCGATCGCTGATCACAAATCAAATGACTTGTATGGTGCATAGATATTCAGTGCCCCTTCATACTAATGTTCACCTAACTTGGGAGTTTGGCATCTGACGAAATCTCGGCACGGTATGAGAAGGTTCGATTGGCTTTCGCCGAATCGCGTCACTTGTGGTATAGTTTAGATATCCATCTTCCTATCAACGGGGAGTTTACTGCTTAGTAGTCTACTCCACTCTACTTTATGGATGTGAAACCTGGTCATCAAGAGTAGATGATATTCTCAGGTGTCTACAAACATTGCTCATGAATTTTTGGACCACGGAGTAAGCATAACCTGGGTTAAGATGGGGAATTGGTTTATGATGTAGTAAATCTTCATTAACTGAAGTGGTGAGAACATGTATTACGCATGTCTACCCATCGCCTACCTCAACAGGCAATGTTTTTTGGTGTAGGAGTAGTCTGGAAGAAAGCTAGGGGCGGCCAGACCAAAACATGGCATCAGTCTATGATGTCACTGACAGTTGAACTTAGACGTGCTATTAGGTACAGACTACCTGGTTAGGATCCACGTGATTATCGTAACAAATGGTTTAAGACTTTGAATGACCTGACTCAAGATCGTTTGCAGTGGCGTAGGTACATCCGTGCTTTGTCTTTCCCCGAATTCTAAATTCCTCATAACTTCCTTTATACTTTTATTTCGTCAATTTATATTTTCTTTTTGATCCTCATCTTCGATACCTAATCTTTCCTATTACCACTAATTCTGTAACTACCTCTTCCGAAATTTGGCCTTGAAAATTCATCTCTCTATGCTAATGGGGTATGTTAATTGATTTACATACATACAGGCTCTACGTTGTGACTGAATGAATGTCGACAGCGTACATTAAAGACCTCATTAAGTGTTACTGACTAACGCTTAAGTTATGTTTTACTGTGGATTTTTGTAAGCGAATTAGTATCGCACTCTCTGGCCTCTGTTCAATTTCCATTCCTTATTACAAATACTTCGGAATAAACTTTTAAAGTTGGTGCTCTGAGAAATAACTAACAATCAGCAAGAAAAACAAAATTAATTAAACTTAGCATGCCTTGCCGTTACTGCTACCTTGACGTGGTGATCGGGCTAGCCTATCGTGATGAACGAATCGGGCTATACTGGCTGGGACAATCTTTCCCCAAGGTCCTAACATCCCAGGCAGATCGGTTGAATAACGGCAAGATGAAAAACAGCAAACCCAAGGTTCGTTCTGCTAACTGTACAGAGGTGTGATGGCAGTAAGGTGTTTACTTCAGACAATCAGCATAACATCTATTCTGCCTTCCCACGAAGGAACCATGAGGTTAGGTCGACCCTGATAATGCACACCTCGTCTCATCCCGCGGATTTTAGCCTCCTGCGGTAAGGTATCAACAAGTACGGAGCGAACACAAAAAGTCGTGTGTGACTGGCCTCAAGCAGTTGTCCCTTCGACATTGCGGTCAAGCTATCAAGCCACGAAGACCAACTCTAACCCGCTTTCGTTTTCAGGCACCTCAAGGAGAACCGTTCTACTGTGTGAGTAACCGGAACGTGATAACCGCCTTCATACTTCTAACAGCACTTATGACCACAAACTTCACATGGTTTATAGAAACAGTCTACGTTAGTAGTTGCAACTTGAATATATCGCAAAAAACCGTATCTTTACTACTTGTTGGTGATTATTTTTTTATGTTGCGAGCGGTCATTTTCGCTAAATAGATTTTCACACAAGTGGCAACCTCAGATCCATTATAATTAAATGATTATGTATATCTTCTCTATCAACAAATCCTTGTGTATTCTTCGGTTTTTAGGATTGTATATCATGATGGAGCTGACGATCAATATCTGTCTCTAATTTTAAAGAGAAGCATGACACACACAGTTTGCACTCAACTAAAACCTTCACTGTCTGTTCGGACTCGTGCTCTAACAAACAAGTCCCACACTAGGTTGGCCAATAAACTGTCGTTGTTATCTGATTCTTTGAATCTGCGTCATCGGAACAGGAATGTAGAAAGAAGAAATCACTTCAAGCATCGTCATGTTTTCTTAAATAGGGATGATTGTTTACCTGACCCCAAATCGCCTGTAGAAGACAACGGTCTCAAAGAACAGTCTGTGATCAATTCAATCCAAGATACCTCTGCTTCTTCTGTTTCATCTACTTCCTGTGGGTCTAGTAGTATGTCCTCTGTTTGTAAGTGGAAGGGTTGTGGGTGTATTGATATTGAAAGGACTCAGTTGATCAATCACATTCAACAAATTCATGTCGTCCCACAGTTATCCAGTCGGCGAAAATATTTTAGTTGTTTGTGGCAGGATTGTCGTGTGTTTGGAAGACCTAGTGTTTCGGCTGCGTGGCTGGAACAACATATACTTCATCATACGGATGCCAAAGGAAAACCATTTAGATGCATTTTCGATGCATGCACATTACGATTTTCTACTTCCACATTGTTAGAACGTCATGTTCAACGGACACATATGCGCACAAATCGTATCAATAGTGATTCCTTACCCAAAGTATCTCTAACTGACAAGAACATACTTTGTCAGCCACATTCAGAAGAAATAACTAATTTACAAAATCCATTAAAGAAATGTACTTCGCTATCTACCAAAAAAAATTTGCGCAAACGTAAGAAAACGCGAACTTACCGAGGTTAGTCTATACATGAAAGCTTGTCAAATGGATGGGTATCATTGTAATATTAATAAGATTTTCTTTAAATATTGTTAGTGTATTTTTATCTCATGATAAAATGAATCAGTCGAAGTCAGTCAACCATTAAAATTGTAAATCTCAATCATTTATGGTGTCCAGCACTTGGGTTGCTCATTTTAAGCTAGTACTTACACTTTTGGCACTGGCCGAACCATTTGAAATCAGGGAGTATTAAATAATTTTTTCCCAATTTAAGACTACTCAACATCATGAAACTTCAACTCTGCATTATTAAAAATGGCTATGGTGGATGATGTCAATGTGAGATAATGTAGTTCAAACGATACAGTCTTCGAAAAAACCACTTATCAGTTGTTAGTGGCCGTGTTTTGGATTATATCGGAGTGGATATGATCCGAGTTGTGAAATAATCTGTTTTTTCCCGACGTATTATAGTCTGCTAATTTATAGGCTGTTTATGTGCCTTACTAGTGATTTACATCTCCAAATTATTTCCAAATTCAATTTGACTATTCTTTGTGAATGAGATAATAAATACGGTAAGAATATTCTCGTTTATGAGGTCTTGTAGCCTCAGCTTATTGCGTTTGACCATTTGTTAGTGAGTTGCACACCAACCATATTGTTTTTACATTTTATACTTTGTATTATAGTTCGTCGCTTGGATTTTTATGATTACAGAAGTCAAATACTGGTTAAAAACAAGTTGAAAATTTCATATCTTCTAAATAAGGAGCTCACAACAAAAAATAATCATGAACGATCTCGCATTTTACCACTGAGTTTTTGCAAGTTACCTTTGAAACTTTATGACAAATCTACAAATCCGCGTGCTCGTCCCAATGTTAATCCACCAAATATCATGGTTAGTAAAGAATCGACCCTACCATCATTGTTGAGGCATACAAAAGATGTTCATCAGCACATATCATTGCTGTTGACAACTCCTCATACGGTAAGTTAATATACAATCGATTGCAGTTGGGGAAACTTAATATGTAAATTATATCAGTATCACAAATCGTTGTAGTACATGATTAGAATAATAATGATCATACTTAGAATTCAGATTAAGACACTGTTTTCGAAGTGAAGGCAATAAGTACATAAGTATTTTATTGGTTTCTTAACTTATTCTGTTCACTTATGTCAATCACTACTCCACTCATAACAATTGCTGAAGCCCCCACCTCTTGTCACAATTCTGATGACAATTACCGTTGGAAAAATCTCGTTTCGCTTTGTTATTCAAGCAAATAGTATTGATTACTATTTCGTCACACTCACTTTTACTTTACACTGTCACTTCTCAGTTTTTCTTTGTTTTCACTTTATGTATTCTTTATTTGTCAAATCACCCAGCAGCTCATCTGTGGTGGAAGTTCTGTCCTATTTAAGCAATCTCATGTCACAGTTTAGTCGAATTTATGGATGCTTCCACGGAATGCGATTGTTAATACACCTTTTATGGATCAAAGTATCTCATCCAAACTGGCCTCCTTCAACAGTCACATATTGATGAGGATAGAACAACAGATACGTTTGGCCGTCATTGGAAAGTCTTGGTGTCGACATCTGTTGTACCTCTGAGACTAGTATTCAAGACTGATGAAGCACTACAAATTCTCTTCATCTGTCGATTCGTAAAGCTTGTTGACGTGCGCATATACAAGGACTTTGTGACATCTTTGTCCGCTTTAGCTGCCATGGGCGTTGTATTAAGTCATATGGCAGAGGCAGCACTAATTGATTATATCCCCCATTAACAGTCGTTTATGTGTCGTCAGATCGGAAAGCTCAATCAAGATGAGGATGGACTGGCGTGTGAAACAGTCTTTTTGCTATCTTCGCCTATGTTCCGACACATTGCAGTATAGATCCAATAAAGGATGAGTTGCACTACCAAATTGTTTGTCTGAAGAAAGCGCACCCGATAGATATCGTAGTGCCACACGGAGATTTGAATGTGCAGGTCAGGCATCTAGGGACAGAGGACAGTTGCTTGGGTGGCTGCCCAATGAAGACTCGTTGGTTCCAGGTCGGATAACGGTAACCGTCTTCTACAAGCAACAAATTACTTTCAGCCAGCACTAACTTCTGTCACAGTCATTCCTGATGTACTAACTGACGTCCTGCATCCCCAACTCAATCTTCGACTCAGACTGCTCATATAGCGATTAGATACTGCTAGAATAGTTATGTACACGACTACCGCTCCTTTTAGAGTTCCTATCTGGACTTCAATCATGGTTTGGTTAGCGATAATCTTATCTTACGTTTCAGTGGTCGAAAATTTCATTGTCCTAAACGGATTGATCCAGGCAAATCCACTACAACCTTTGCTACAACTAGTTGTCAAGTCGAGTTATATTGAAATCTAGCTATCAACCCGTGGAAAAGTATGGATGAGAGGTAGATGCGTTTGCTCGACTCCATGGAAATGGTGGGTTACGTTTCTTGTGGCTTTGTGAAACGTCCCGCTTATATGCACTGGGTTTATACCGACTCCTTACAACTTCTTGAGGCACGTTTGTCTACTCCGGGTGACCACGAGTTTGACCAGAAACGGAGACTGTTAGGTAATGAAATGAGACAAAGCTTGCGTAATGTTCAAGAAAAATGGCGGTCGGAGCGTGCCAATGAGTTAAAAGCAGCAGTTGTATCTGGTAACTGCCGGAAGCTCTTTTGACCTATCTCAGTCACTGGCAGCAAAAAGTCTGGTGTGAGCGAGACAATCTGTGAGGATGATGGGATGCCAATCACTAACATCCATCGACGTCTTGGACGATGGGTAGAATTCTTCGAACAGCAGTTCAAATGGCTCGCTGCTCCGGCAACATCGGTCAGACTGTCCTGCCCTCCATGGCCGGTGACAACTGATCCACCAAATGAGGCGGAAGTCCGCAGGGAGCTCCAACTCTTGAAGCGCTACAAATCACCAGGCCCAGATGACTTACCTCCGGCTCTTTTTAAAGATAGTGGTGACTTTTTGACTAAGGAATTGACGACGTTGTTTACAAAGGTTTGGGAACTAGAGAGTGTACCAACGTCATGGAATGAGTCGATAGTTGTCCCTATCTTTAAAAAGGCTTCACGTCATTTCTGTATCAAATATCGATGGATAAGCCTACTTCCGATTGCGTCAAAACTATTGGCTTCCGTCATACTTCGTAGATTGTTCAAAACCCGAGAAAGATTGACTCGCGAGGAGCAGGCTGGGTTTCGTTCTGGTCGAGGATGTATTGATCATATCTTCAACCTTCGCCAAATGTTAGAACACCGCCATACTTATCAAAGGCCAACAATCGTAGTGTTTCTTGACATCAGGGCTGCCTTCGATTCGTTGAACAGGACTGTTCTCTAGGATTGTCTATTGAAGAAGGGTGTGCCTGAGAAGTTTATTAACATCCTAAAAGCCCTATATACAAACACCTCAGGCATACAATCACCTCTCTCCATTGTTCCATTCGAGCAGTAGGGTTAGGCAGGGTTGCACAATCTCACCATTCCTCTTCAGCTTTGCGACCGATGACATTGTGGAAACAGCTCTGAGGAATGTAAGTAATGGTGGTGCGGATCTGTTGTCTGGAGAAAGACTTCTCGACCTTGAGTATGCGGACGATATTGTCTTACTGTGTGATAATACCCAAGGCATGCAATCCGCACTTAATCAGTTGGCAATCAGTGTCCGTAGGTATGGTATGTGATTTGCACCTTCGAAGTGCAAAGAACTTCTACAAGACTGGCAGGATTCCAATCCTGTACTCACCTTGGATGGTGAGCAGATAGAAATAATCGAGAAGTTCGCGTATCTAGGTAGCTGCATAATTGCTGGTGGTGGCGTGAATGATGAGATCAATTCACGTGTAGTGAAAGCCGGAGAGGCTTATGCCAATGTGGGCCATCTTTGGCGCCTTCGTGATGTTAGTCTGGATGTAAAAGGTCGGATCTACAACGCGTCGGTGAGAGCAGTTCTGCTCTATGCTTGTAAGACCTGGTCTCTCCGAGTTGAGGATATTAGATGATTCTGTGTTTAAGCATCGTTGTCTCCGAAGGATTGCTGACATCCAGTGGCAACACCATGTTAGTAATACAGAAGTTCGGCATCGTGTGTTCGGGCACAGAGATGATAATGCAATTGGTGTCACCATCTTGAAACATCGACTTCGGTGGCTTGGACATGTTCTCCGAATGTCGTCCCAGAGAATTCCACGTCGTACATTATTTGCCGACGCTGGGACTGGTTGGAAGAAGCGGAGAGGTGGTCAGTGTATGACATGGTGTCGTGGCATGAAAGAAAGCTGCAAATGGCTGGCTTCTGTTGGTCCTTCATGACTCCCTTGTTGAGGTCCGAGAGATTGTGCTACACAGTGGCTAAAGACGTTATCAGATATGGCTCAGAATAGAAGCCAGCGGCCATCCTGCTGTAACTTTCTTTTATTTTCTTCATAAAAAATGGACGTAACTTCTCTAACTGGAAGAATTTTTTCTTGTTGCGCCTTTGCTAACTGAATTGTTTCTCCTATTATAATTACAATTATTATCAATAATTTCAATCATAAACTAATTTTTGTTCCTTGTTCTTGTTTTGTTATACGCACTTCACATTTTTCATCTCCTTACATTCTCATTATTATTGTGTGGTGTAGATGTATTTGTTGCCGTATAGTACCAATTTTTGTGTGTTCAAGTAAATATGAATAAAATAATGCGAAAGTTTTATAGACAGCAGTAGTACTTGTTAACTGCTGGAAGATATTTCAACACATCCGAGCTTCTGTCAGCGAAATACCTGGCTTGAAGGATAAAATCTCTAGACCTGATGGGACGCTAGTCAACGACATCCTAGACAATGTGTGCTTTTTCAGAAACAGTTCATCTCTTCTGCTGCTCATAGATAGCGCAGAACCCACAAAAGACTGACTAACGAGAAGACCGGTTTACGTTTAGGTCGTTGGTGCATTTATCGCATTTTTACCCTCTGTCAAATGTTATATCACTGTCATATTTATTCCAGGCCAGCAATTGTTGTGCTTCTTATTAATACGGCTGCATTCCAGCCATTGGCTAGGACTGTACTCTGGGATTGTCCGTTAAAGTGTGTGCCTTAAAAATTGATCAGTATTTGAAAGGCTACTTACATAGACAGCTCAGTCAGAGTGGCTTCATACAATCATTCCCTATTGTCCCATTCAGGCAGTGGTGTTAGACAGGGCTTCTCATAATCACTATCCGTCTCCAACTTTGTCATCGATAACATTCTGGGAGAATATTTGGTGGTAATATGTAGTAGTGATGTGTATCAGTTACCTAAAAAATTTCGATCTTACGTACACGGACGGTTTTATCTTTAATGTGAGGTGATACTCAAATTAAGAGTATCACGCTCAGTCGATTTGGAATCAGTACTCGTAAGTGTAACACGTACCTGCACCTTCACAGACCCTTGTTTGTGAACTGTTTAAAGTAGTTGAAAAGTTCATGTATATGGTTAGATGCATGAGTGGCGATAACAAAGTGATAAACGAAATCAGTCTGTGTGTATTTATGGCCACTGGACATCGTCGTGAATGTTAGTCAGGCTGTTAAAGGTCAGGTTTACAAAGCGTTAGCAAGAGTAATTTCCTATGGTCACAAAACCTTGCACCTCTAATTCGAGGATGTTAGACTATTTCCTGTGTTCGGTTCTTCAATGAAATGTGCAACACCATCGACCTTAGTAATTAGTGTCACACTGGATTCAATGGATTACACGTGAATTCCAAAGGCTTCTATATCGAGCTTTGCTACCGACGCTTAGACTAAATGGGAAAGTAGAGAAGTGATCAGTTTTTGAATTGGTACCGTAGTATGAATAAAAGTGAAATAGGACCGGAACCTACAGGTCTACCACGACCCCCTGGTTTTGGATCCTAGCGAGGTTATGCAACTCAGTGACCCAAGATATCAAACATGGCTTGGAACAGAAATGGCTGGTGATTCTAACGTAGTTTCTTTTTACTTTTTGATAACTTCAACTTCGTGTGTATTGTCAACTGGACTAATTCTTCCGTTATGTACTTTTTTCGTTAATTATTCCACTTAGTTTAATTTCTCCTCTTCGGATGTATAACTTTTTCCTCATCAAGTTATCCATACTTTTTGTGGTGCTTTTTTTATCTCCCATTGGGGTGGATTTTATGTTCTAAAATAAATAAAACAATAAAGGTAATCTGTAGCTGAAGAAATTGAGTGACATGTCTAAAAACCGGTCACATTAACTCAGATGCATTCATTTTTTATCTTCCTCTAGATCTTGAGTTCACTATTCCTTGTGACATATTTTCTGTTGTCTTTTAGCGCCATATTCTCAATGTTTAACCTCTCCTATTATGATTTCTACTACGGCTGTTCATCTTGTTGGCCTTATGTGTTATAGTATGTTATATATATGTCACACCAAGGAAGTGACAAATATTTTAATGACACATATGTCAGAAATAGGTCATAACTTTACAGTATTTTTAGTGGCAGTAAGCACATACTGGATAATAATAATAATATTGATTTTTTTTGTTTAAAAACAGTTAGGCAACCCAGATGTTATTTAGTATAGTAAACCAAAATACCCTTGGACTCACGTCCTTGTACAAATAATTTCTGTGTTAATGACTAGTCCGAATTCAACTATGCTTTTCAAGGTTGTATGCCTATGGGTTAATATTAACTTTCATAAACATTGAGTTAATTATTTAAACAAAATTACTTAATAGTATGCGACCGATAAATAATTATTACTTCAATATATATTGATCGTGACTCTCAGTTTGTTGGTCGACGTATTTCTCTGGATCATCGATGTGAATTTCTCGTACGCTGGATTAGCGGTTCTGGACATAGGTAAACTTGTTTTTTTCATAAGTTTATTTATAAATTTTTTCTCATTAATTATAAGCTTTGACAGAATGTGAACTTAATAATAATTTACATAAAACCATAACATAATTTACCTTCAGGTTTTCAATGTTATGTTAGTTTATAGTGAATATGAATCAGGAAATTTTTTCTGGTATATAGTTGTGACACAGTAGAATCAGTTCCAACTTGAACTCTTCTGTAGCTCATGTTTTTCTTATTTGATTGGATATTTTGTAAATCAGCTTTTCAGTCACCCATGACTAATTAGTGTTATAAGAGCGGCATAATTACTAGACCTATTTATTCTTGTTGAACTACTGAGAGGATACTTTGATCAGTGTTGATAGAGCGACAGGCCAGTTAAAAATCTTATGAAGGTGAAAGTTAGTCAATACCGTTTGATAAGATTTATCAATAAGAATCCTATAATGTTTCTGTATGGACCAACATCCTACGTCTTGACCAATGATACGTTCTGACTGAAGGGAGTAATCTTAAGCTAAAGCCGGGAAAAACCTAACTCTCATTGGTCCAGAACGTACGCCTTTCTGACATCCCAGTTTCCTGTACGATAAATTAAAAGACAGAAGCCAAGCTTCTATGTATATCAGGCATCCAGTCTTTTTAATTCAAACACGTATTAGTTTAGAATACAGGAATTATTAGGCCCCATCGCGCACCAAATAAGAAACTATACTTTTAAAAACAATCAGACTATATGTTACAGGGTGTTGAGCAAACGGTACATAATTAACAATAATTGAGACGTAATAAAACGTTTAACAGTGGTTAACAGGTTTAGTGGAAGTTCGCAGTAAGGGGATTATAAAAGAACACTAATCAGATTTATTTAATGGTTATGTTCTATGGCCTGCCAAATATCTCGTGACCTTATCCGCGTGCTAAACCGTTGGTGCGTTAACCAAAATGAGCAGCCTAGAGTCGATTCCGAGTCTCTATTGGTCCTCTGTATAGTAGCTTCTCGCTTAGCCCCGCCCGTTCGATCCACAGCACAAATGTCAGTATCCGCCGTATGAATCGTACATTTCAGACATACGTGGTTTATATACAAGCATTCTTGACAATATCGCACCATAAAATTTAAAAAAAAACAATTATACAAGATCAAGCCAAAGGCATGTGTAAGCACAGTAGACTGTAACTAATAGATTCGGAATAAATTAAGAATGGTAAATCGCATAACAGCTAATAGGTCAAACGGAGGCTTATGACAAAAAGAATATGGATAAGTATCAACTATTTGATTAATAATCCTGTAAGATTATGTGTTATAATAGTTCATAAATAATTCCTAGTTGTTACCATTCTCTTATTCTTTGTTCACATACAACTGCTCCTCAAAAATGCGGTCGAATGTTTCTTCAAACCTGAAAACACCCTCTCAACAGAAGCACTACATTTTTGTTTCTCGTGCATTTCTCCGTAAAGTCTCAAACCACTTGTTTCATATCCAAACTCTTTTTCAGTGTTATCCCACCTACTTGGATGTTCGAAGAGGAACTTAATGTGGCAGCTCATTTGGAAAGCATTTTGTGAAATGTGCAATAATGTGATCTCGTTTCATGCGGCAACAACCCGACGGTTTATTGCTGCATTTTGCTGTTAGTTCCAATTGATGGACAGCAACATACGGGCTTTCGATCCTCTGTTGTATTCATCTAATATGTTGCACTCAGCTGTGAAAACTGTCTGTATCGTTTTGACCAACTTACTTTATCAGTTCTTGTTTGTTAGTGTTTATTTATTTACTTCCCCTCAGTCTTCATGTTCGTCTAGCTTACCTACTTACTAACTTAATTGTTTATATTTGTGATCATGTATGATACATTTTTGCTTTTGCTCAATCTAGGTGGCACATACGTATTTATTATGTTAGGATTTTCCCAAACATTTCTCACCTTATAGGCTTTCTTTGAAATATACGTGATGTAATTCCTTATAACTCTGAGCTTGATTTCGGTTACTGAAGGTTGAGTCAGGACAAGATTTGTCAAATATATATTCTGAATAGCATGGTACAGAAACAATCAAAGCGTCTACGACCCCACCGATTGTTCCTTTCAATGTCGTGAAAATTAGACGTCGATTTCTGTAGGGTTAGAATGCTCTTCCCATCACCCACACCACGAAATATTGAAAAACATAGTATTTCACCATGTGAGTTATTCACATTGGATTTTCTTAAATGAGTTCTCTGTTTGTATTCTTACCGCCCATTTAGTTTGTTACAAAAAGCCAAATTGCAGCCGTAATATCTTTATCAACTACTTTAGTAGTTTGTAGAGCGTGATTGTCTAATTACTTCATCTATTATCAGGACAAGCCAGGCCTATAAGTGGAGCACCGATCTTCAACTTGTAGTTATATTCCGAAATATGTCAGCGATGGACTTAAGTATATGCTGAATAGAAACAGTTCATATAAGCGAATAGTTAATCCTAGGGATTTCACAAAGTTAAGATTTTGATGCTGTCATCAACAATAAGATTCTATCGTGCAAACGACGAGCCATACATTCTACACTGCAATTCAGAAGTCCAAAGAAGGGTCTGGATATTTCCTAGTTTTAAGGCATCAGTTATGTTCCGGCACATGTAAACCCTTAAATTATGTTTTTTGAAGTTGTTGAATTAGTTAAATTAGAAATCCGATTAGAGAGTTGACTCTCTTGACCAAATTCTAGTTATTAGTGTGGAAAGGGCAATCAGTTTTAGGACTTCGAAGCGTTTTACGTTTATGTGATTGGTTCAAAAAGAAAGGTATTTAAAGAGTAAACAACTTCAGTCTCTTCTAAATGAAGTGAATGTATGATTGTACTCGCTTAGAAAGATGTGGGGAGACAAAATTACTACTGCCTTAGGTAACTCAGTGAAATAACTAGTGATTTGTACTAATTATGGAAGGGTCTCATTGTATTAACATACTTTGGGAAAGCGGAATAAAATGTTAATTTTGTTTTATTCTAACCTCAATTAAGACGACCGATGCTTTAATATTCGCCCCCAAACACACTGGTACGACTAAGAGTGGGTAGGGTCCGTTCTACTCGAAATGCTCTCATATGGTTATTGCCTTCTCGTGGCAGGAATGTTTACGAAATTGAGAAGGTAAAAGGTGAATGTCCAGCTCTTGAACAGGGTTAGTGGGTGCGGAGAATCAATCTAGGTGTTGGCGAACCAATGGTGCGCATGGGCTCTAGGATCCTGAGGGAACGAACGGGGTGTGGATCTACTATTGGTTATCGGATAACATGTGACTGCATCCTAACGTTGCTCCGCTGCCCTGAGGATTAGACCTATAGGTCAAACGTACGGGGAGGAACCCTCTAAGAAGACCACCTGATGTGGTCTAGGCACTCGAGCAGTATCCCAGCCCATACAGACTTAGTGATTTATTGTGTGGCACACATATATATTGGTACTCTTTTGAACTAATGTTTATATGAACCTACTTTTTATCGCTAGAAATCATTAAAGTTAGGTTGTCTAGTACGTTTTACGTAAAAGATCAAACCGTTCGAACACAAATTACATGTTGCCTATGGAAATCAATCATAGCGGAGTGCCCAAGAAAGGATATCACCATCGTGATGGGAGATCTGAACGCCAAAGTCGGGATGGACAACACCGGATATGAAGATATCATGGACTGGGAGGGAGAAACGAAAATGGTGACAGATTTACAACTTTGTGTGCATTCAACAAAATGGTTATAGGCGGCACAATATTACACCACAAACGAATACAAAAAGCTGCATTGGTTTAACTGGATCACGTCACAGAGAACCAGATAGATCACATTTGTATCAATAAAAACTTCAGAAGGACAATGAAAGACGTGAGAAGCAGAAGAGTTGACATAGCTTTAGATCACCAGTTGATTGCCAGGATGAAACTGAAGCTAAAGGAGCATTAGACAACTGGAAAAACAGCATTACAAATATTCAATACAGCCTTCCTTATACATAGTGACAAACTCGACGAATTCAAAATAACTGATGCAGACGTAAAGGCGAGGGTTGGAAAAGCAAGGACAGCACTCCTACAATTGGAGAACATGTAAAACTCAAAACAACTGCCGACCAATATTAAAGTCAGAATCCTCAATACAATCCTACTGAACGGAGCTGAAACGTGGAGAATTACTACAATCATCACCAAAAATGTACGAGTACTTATGAACAGTTGTCTACACAAGATACTCAATGTCCATTGATGACTGGATACCATGAACAACAGCTACTGTAGGAGAGAACTAACCAGCTTCCATCTGAAGGGGAAATTAGGAAAAGACGTTAGGAGTGGATAGGACATACATTACGGAAATCACCAAACTGCTAACTTGGAGTCCTGAACGAAAACGGAAAAGAGGGAGACCAGAGAACACAGTACGTGAAGAATCAGACGTGAAAAGGATGAATACCAACTGGAAAGGATTGCCCAGGACAGGGTTAGGTGGAGAGTGCTAGTGGGTAGCTTATTTATTACTTATTTAAACACAAACATTGATACAAGGAGGCACCAAATAGATGTACGCCACATAAATCATTCGATATGTGTGAGGGCCGTGATACTGCCTGGGTGCCCAAACCGAAGCAGGTGGTTTTCTTAGGGGGCCACACCCGGAGCCTTCGGCCTAAAGGTCTGATCCACGAGGCAGTGGATCATCGTGAGGAGATGCAGTCCCATGGTAGCCGGTGACCAACGATTGGTTCATACACCATTTGTTCCTTCAGGATACTGGGGCTCATGTTCACCATTGGCTTGGAATCAGGGTTTTCCATTTCCCCTAGGTGGAATCTCCGTGTCCACCAACCCGGTTAGAGTCGGACATTTGCTTTTTGTCCTCTCAATTTCGTAAACAACACCCCCGCCACGAGAAGGCAGTGAGTAGGACTTCCCCGGCAAAGGCTATATACGAGTGTCCATGTGAGAGCATTTCGAGATGGAGGGCGGGCCTACCCTGTTCTCGGTCATACCAGGCCATTTAGGGGCGGCCTATGCTTCTCCAGAAGGGGCAACAGGAGTACGTAACTATGGAAATCTCTGAGAATAGTTTTTGTTAAGAAGGCTTTGGGTGCTCATTTAAAAATATATTTGTCTTAACAAGTACAAAACCTCATACTGCAAATTACACTCCAATACTCGAAAATTAACATTCCCAACGGGAGTAGCTAGTGATTTCCTTCTTTTGCTTTTAGGAAAATGCGCTGAAATGTAAGAGATTTGGAAGATTTAGCGACATAAGTTGTGGTATGCTGTGATGTTTGGTCGTCCATTTTGCGCGCTGGTGCTAGAGAAGCGCCTTCTATGGGAAGAGTGTTATTCAGAGTGGAGTTATTTTCAAAGAATAAATATGTCCCAACTGTATCTTCATAACGTCCTTCAAAGACCGCTGGTCCAACCTTGAAGGGGATTGATATAAGTGGAACAATTATTGATTATCAAAATGTGCATACTTAATTCCAGAAGGCATATCAAGAATTTGTCAAAATGTTTTGATAACCGAATATTGAGAAAAATAACCTCAAATGAACTCTCAGATGGAAAAGTACAAAGCATAAACACTGTTAACCGATTACTTAATAGATAAGTTTGACAGTTCTGTACCAAATGAGTGATGGTTTATTGGGCGAACCCATCACGTTTAAACTAGTCGGTAAATATCACTACCCATTACATGAACAATGTGTTTCACAACAGAGTACATACACCTGTACGAATCACACTATTACTATTTCAGTACGCAAGTGACATCACATCAACTTAGTGCGACAAGTTGATTTTCTAAAGCTTTCTTTCTACCATCAGAAGGGGTTTTGTGGAGATTGTAGTAATTTCAATAGTTGAGATCACGAGTCAATCGAAGCTAGACCACCATGGAAAACCTGGAAGCACTGGACAGCCGTCACGTCCTATTGTGGGACTCATTCACAAAAGGAAGAAACGGCCATCCAGGTTTTCCATGGTGATCTAGCTTCGATTGACTCATGATCCCAACTTTCTTTCTTCCTTAGTTACTACAGCAGAAAACGTAGCATTCAATTAAGTTAGTATAAACTTTGTAATCAGCAGCCTATACCAGAATAATCTGTAGGCATCCATAGTGCTGATGCACTGAATTTGAGTAGTGAGGTTGTTACACTTGGTTGTGTAGAGGAAAATTCATCTGATTTTGAATGACGTTCCAACTTTTAATCGCTAATCATGAACAGGCGGTTTCGTTTACACGTAACAGCCAATTAAAAATGAAGAACTTGTTAGCCAAGAACAATGCACAATACATTAAAAATTTATTGATCACTCTTGTTTTGGTTAATGAGCTCAGCTTTGGACCATACTGTAAGACGGCTAGTAATACTACCCAGTTTTTCAAATAGATGTGAAGCGAGGTTTATACTCGCTGAAACACAAGCAGTTTGTCCAATAAGTTACAATTTGACAACCTAGTTATGGAAACCATGTAAGTAGTTTCAGAAGTTAACTTAAAACACTATTTTCATGATGACCCAGTATTTGACAAAACTTCAAAAAAGCTCCTGAAACACAGCTTCTATTTTTCATTAGGCATTTGTCAAAGCTGTATGGCAGAATAGAGTGCGCTTGTATGCTATATATCCGTTTATGATTAACATGTTTCATGTCAAGAGTGGTGTAAGTTGTAAAACACAAAGTGAACATTTGTATCGAACTAAAGCGCAACGTTTATGAACATCGTTGTAATGAAAGTCCTCATATGACGCACTTAAATATATTGGTGCCTTAGGAAAAATGGGTATTAGTATAAGTTGATTATGAAAGACCATGAACTTGGTAGATGTGCGCTTTAAAAAAAACACTGAATCGACAGCTAATTTACCTGCATAAGAGGTTTATCTGACTCTATATCCACAAGGTGAATGACACTAGATGGGGTTAAGATATCATCTTCTAGCAGACCTTGACAGTCTACGTACAAAACTTCTTCATTTATTATTTCCCAGTCATCACTCATGTTATTAGGACTATTCAAATGTAATTCAATATTTTGTCCGCTGCAGTTTTGATCTTCAGATGGTTTAAAATGAGATGACGAGCAAGTAGGCTGACTAGGTTTCGCACTGCTTTTAAAACTGTTATTAGTCCGACTCTTTCCTGGTGAGCTTCTCGAAGATTTTTGGAGTTTCCCATTCGTCAGGATTGATGTCATAGCTATCCATGTAGTGTGACAT